ACATCTTGATACAAAGAGGCAAGTACTATGCGCCTACGGATACTTAATTTGGAACATAATAAAGAACTTGACTTAGATAGACGGGCACTATGGCTTAATGTCTGCTGTGCAAGAAAAAAAAAACTCCTGACGTGGATTATTATAGCGAGGGCGCTACATTGGGTTTCTAGCGCTTAGAAATCTTTGAATAAGGCTTTATGCTGATTTTACCGTGTACTTGAAAGCTCTTTTTTTTTTGAGAATTCGCGCATAGTTGTTGTCTCACTTTAACGCTTGTTATTCTTTCACATGCAGCTTTCTGCCTATAGAAATGAGTGTAAAAAAAGAGAAATTGGGCAGTGCAATCACGTTATTATAGACATATATACGAGATGGCAATGTTATCCTGAAGTGGTTAGCAATAAGTTGAGCCATTAAGCATTGTGCGTGAAGTGGTATTTCGGCCGAAGTAACCGACTTTTTTGTGATATGAGGTAGTATGCAAATTGATGCACGATAATAGAAGTTAATTTGTTTTATTGATATTGCATAGAATTTGAAGTTACTCTCTGTTGAAGAGCGTGAAAGAGAAGTTGACTGTTTTTCTCGAAAATATTGGGTAACCTGGAATTAAACATTACGTAAAAATAATGCCTTATGATAAGAGTCTATGAAAACAAACAAACAAACAAACAAACAAAACTGGGAGGCAGGAGGACAGACGTACAAAGAACACAGACGCACACACAGAGAAGCAGAGAAAGCGAATGCGAAATTGGAATTCTTTTCCGCGTGTTTGCTTTGAGGGTGTAGACTTTCTGAAACATCGAAATCCTTCTATCACAGCATATTTTCTCAATAATGCCGTTCAGGGCCAAGGTTCTTTGAGTAAAACAACCATTAATATACGCACAAAAGCGTGAACAAAAAGGCTCCGCAAAATGCGTCGAGTGGGACGACGGTGTGCGTAAATATTTCATATCACTGCTACTGTCGCACGAAAGACTCAGTGAACGGTGAAATCGGTGGGAACCATGTAACGTCAGACGGCTTTCAACAGCAGATTTGAATATGCATTCAGGCGAACCTCAAACGCTTCACTTCGTCGTAAGAGATATTTCATAGAGCAGAGAGCTGAGTATAGAATTGCCGAAGGCGACCGCGGTGAGTGGCAGCGTAGCCTTACGGAAGAAACGCTTTTCTAGCTCTGCTCTTGGCCGTGGAGCATAGCATTCCGTGAACGTGACCTGCTATTTCTGCTCAGCCGCTATGTTCCGGTTATCGCCTACCGCGAAGAAAGTAAAATATATAGCGAGGTTAGGTAGTTATATGCTACGTTTTCTTTACAAGCTGCACCTATCAACGAGAAGTTTGCTACCGCCTCGTTATAGTGCTGGTGTTTTCTCTATTCGTTTATGACATATTCTCTAGTAGAACACATTATGCGAATGAGAACCTTATTTTCTTTGGGTTTTGCGTTAGAATGTGCAAACTGACAGCTTAAGATACTTTATAAATGTATTATGACAAAGAAAAGGCCTACGGGCCGCGTATGTGGCATTGAATGGGCAGCCCATTTAACACTTAACGAGGATGTCTAGCAGTGGGCCTCTTTGAAGTATCAATACCTAAGTTGAAGTTATCTTGGTGTTTTTAGAAACTGAGGTCTTTAACAACCGGTGTACAGCAAACAGTATTCGAATTTTGGCCGGGAAAGTTTATCCCTCAATACATTACAACAGATGTACTGCTTTACACATCAATTATGTGGTTTCAGGGGCAAACAGTATGCGACTGACCACACTCCGACAGCCATGTTATAATAGGGAACAAGCGAAATGAAAGAAAAGGAAAAAACAACAGGTGTGCGGCGCCTTTGCCGCATCTCATATTTTCAATCTCGTAGGATAAATAATGTTTGCTCCAGCAGTAAGGCTCAAAGGTTTCCACTCCCGCTCTTAGATTTGATTCAAACATCGTGTTTTATAGTGAGTCAGACGCAATGAAACCCAGTAAAAATGAACATTTCAGAACCCCTCTTAATCTCTTGTTAGATATCTTGAATAAGTATGCATAACCTATACACGACGCAAGTGCAGCCTATTCGCGGAGCTGACTTTTCTCGTCCCGCGTACGAGACTAAAGAAACGTAGCACTTCGTATCAGCACCGTTTTCACACCCGGTTATCAACACCAAGTTTTCGAAAGAAGTTATCTGTGCCATTCTCTATGGGAACTCCTACACGAGTGATAAGCCGAAGTGTTTTGCACGACCAAGAAAACATGTAACATATGGCTGATTATGCAAGTAACCTCAGTAGATATATCGACTAAGTTTTATATTCCCTCTGATAAAATGATTCACCGCTTGAAACTGAATGCTACTGTACTGCTACTCTTTAGTCAGGCGTAGTGTACGGCACGAAACTATAGTTACTTCAGCAGTGTCACACGATTAAATATTGATCTTGGCCTACAGTCCTTAGCAATATGCCGTCACATAGCCATACTAACAATATTCCACAAGTATGTGCACTCTACTGGTCACGTTCCCTTCGTCTCTATGTCCCATCCCGAACATGCAGAATATTACATAATAATATATCAGTTTCGCACGCATACATGGTCTTACATTACCATTCAACTAATCAACAGTCCCAAAGTGGACGATCAATCCCCAAAGTCGCTTCCATTCGGATCTTAGGTATGACGCTAGAAGCAACGGGCACCAATAACATCACGATTCAAAGGTTAGCAAAAAAGGAAGATAGTGTTATTAGGCTCATAAGGCGGGTGGCTAATCGAAGGGCAGGACTATCAGGGGACAACTTGGTCAGGCTTATACATGCTTTTCTGCGGTGTCATTTTACATATGTGATGGCAATGCATGTTGGAAGAGATCGGAAAGAGACAAGCTTAATACAATGATTAGGAGAGCGGTAAAAAATGCCCTTGGGGTCCCCAACTACACTCACACAGGTCGTCTCCTGCAGTTGGGAATTCATAATACATTGGAAGAAATCGCGGAAGCGCAAGAAAGAGCACAGGAAATTAGGCTGCCTGGCTCAAAAGCAGCCCCGCCGTGGTGGTCTAGTGGCTAAGGTTCTCGGCTGCTGACCCGCAAGTCGCGGGTTCGGATCCCGGCTGCGGCGGCTGCATTTCCGATGGAGGCGGAAACGTTGTAGGCCCGTGTGCTCAGATTTGGGTGCACGTTAAAGAACCCCAGGTGGTCTAAATTTCCGGAGCCCTCCACTACGGCGTCTCTCATAATCATATGATGGTTTTGGGACGTTAAACCCCACAAATCAATCATGGCTCAAAAGTGAGAAGGATGATTCTCGTAGATATGGGTATTCGACCAGCTCAGATTGAGGCTCTGTCCTAAGGTTCTCGAGGGATCATAAGGAGAATATCATTGTCTCGCCTGCCCCGCGGAACATGAATCCCCAACGAAATGTTGGAAGGAGGAGAGCGCGCGCTCATGCCCTTATCCGCCAAGGTGCGGATCGTGACGGGGGTGCCTCTTTCGAGACGCGGCGCAATATGATGATCAGAGAGACCGATTCACGGTAGTGACACTCTACCACAAAGGGGTAACAATTAATGCGGCGCCAGTATGCGCCAATACTGTCAATGCAGCCGTTCAGGTTGCCATTGCCTTGGCTCTTTTAGATAAGCGTCATAAACATATATTTAGCGATTCTAGAGCAGCCATTCATGCCTTCAGTGTTGGAGCTGTGTGCAAAGAGGCCAAAACATACTCGGTGAGAAGTCGCTCACAACCCATACCCTTCCATGGTTCCCGGCTCATATGGAAAACATGGACGGAGGGATTATCAATCTCAATGAGTTGGCCCACTCCAGGGCGCGAGGGTTAGCTGTCCGCGGCCATGGAGTACCTTTGGGTTGAACTGGAGATTTCGTAAACAGGGATCCACCAAATACATGCAATGAAATTGCCCAGCATTTCGCTATGGATAGGAGAATTTTTCCACCTCCACATAGGAAGCTAAATAGAGCGCAGGCACCTACATTGCAATTACTTCAAACAGAAACGTACCCTAACCCTACCTCTCTCCACAAGCTTTACCCTGACGTTTATTTAACCAACTCGTGTACAAAATGTGGCGGTTTAGCCAGCTTACACTGCATGCTCTCGGAGTGCCCTTAATTCGGTACGCGGCACCAATACAGCGTCGTCAAGAAAGTGGGACTCCGCTCTTCGGAGTCCGGACATAACATCACAAATTTGGGCTGTCCAGAGGGCCCACGACGCGGCGCTAGGTCTCGGCTTTTCTGTCCCATCGTGGGAGCGGCCCGCTGTGTGCTAGGGCGCACGCCTTCGAACTTTCACAATAAAGTTTTCCCAAACCAAACCAAATCAGCAGTCCCACAAGCCATTGCATTATGGAATAACTTTCCAGACAACATAGCTTCATTGGCCAACCCTGACACATTCCACCACCAATTGCTCATTTCCACTGAAGTCGTTCATTGTCTTCTAACAAAAAGCACAATTTTTGCATATGTATGTATGTATGTATGTATGTATGTATGTATGTATGTATGTATGTATGTATGTATGTATGTATGTATGTATGTATGTATGTATGTATGTATGTATGTATGTATGTATGTATGTATGTATGTATGTATGTATGTATGTATGTGTATTTACGATTATTATGTATACATCATGTATTACTCACTATGCATTATGCCTTAGGTACATCTTATTTATGAAATGTTCAATTCTTTTTCTGTGTCGTTTCCTAGTGGTGCTTGATTCCTTTACATTTTTCTGCTCCTTAATGTTATTTTAGAGCCCCCCTTACACAATGCCCAAGAGGCCTGTAAAGAATTTGAAATAAATAAATAGATTGTTGCGGTAATTTAAAAAAAATTGATAGCCATGTGTTCATAAATGTGTGATTTCTATTCAGTGATCAAATTAACTGTTTAAAAAGCAAGTTTGCGGCCGTATAGATTTCATACGAGCCGAAAAATTTATACAGACCTTAGTATACGGGCGCAAGTGCGCTATGCTTTTATTCGAAAGTTACGGAGGGAACATTTCAATTTTTGTAGCAGATGCAAGTGGTCCTCCATTGACCACCACAGTATCCTCCCCGGCGGCCAATGCTCAGACAATGCTTGTGGCAGAAGTCGCTGACCGGGCAGCCGAACCAACGGCCTGCAAATGAAGCATTTCTCATTAGTTCGGCACTTGCGATACGTAACCCGCGTTCTACTTAAAGGCGAGAGCTTTAATGCCTCGTCAAACGTGGAAAGGGACCGTTTAGGTCTGCGTCAATACGAGTGATGCGAAAAATAATCATGATGTGAGGGCGGCTCTCCATGACGTAAATATATGATGCCACAGGTCGCGAAAGCTTGCGGCTTCAGCATGACATCACTATGGTGTCGTATAGACCCTTTATACGATGACCTTATCATATGACGTCGTCACCTGATCAGACAAGCCAAACGCAGTGGAGGAGGAAGACGAAAAAATAAATAAGTGAAAAGACAGGGAGGTTAGCCCGTTCTTAGACCAGCTTGCTACCCCTTTTGGGGAAGGGGTTGGGGGTAATAAGATATGATAGAAAGAGATGTTACAATGAGAGAGAGAGAGAGAGAGAGAGAAGACTAAAAATAGCGAAAAAGGAAAAGCGAAATCAAAGAAATTATGAATCTAAAGTCGGTTCCTAAGGCAGATGTGCGGAAAAAGCGTATTAAAGCTTTCAAAGCCTGCTGGGCTGAGGATGGACTCGGCCAATGACCCTGAATTCTTTGTTTCGACAAAGACCAATCATCTAGTCTATCTACAGCTTCAGTAAATTTTTGTCTTGGCGTGTTGAAACGGGTACACTCACAGGTACTGCTGAAAACTACGTAAGATGCAGAAAAATTCCAATGCTTCTGGTTTTGGAGGTAGTGCAGATCATGTTGGGCACAGAAAGATTTCGAAGGCATGATTTACATAGCTGACTTGCATGCACAGTGCTAATGTTACTGCCCCCCTATTGTCCAGTACCTCAAGGTATTTCGATATTTCGTTTTGCAAATGGCCAACTAAAGTGTATGCTTTAGCGTGGTCACGTCATGTACGTCCTTGGAAGACCCCCTTGAAGAGCCGAGAACTATACCTGGCTGAAACTCGCATCGACTCAAACTTTCTTTCAAATATCAATCTATACGAAAAGTCGTTTAACGGTAAACAAAACTGCAGAAAACTGCTTTACTCTTAATTTATTACTGACCCCACACACTAGCAGTTCATATAAACGCACGTTATGATATACTCACGGACTCGAACATGTGCCTCTGTATTGTCGTCTTCAACGGCGAAAGTCATGGCCAGGAGGGCTGTATACGTAACATTCACAAATTGTTATTCATATGATAATCTTGTTTTTGGAACACAGATTGTTTGAACTTTAGAGGAGGCCGCCAAACAAATTACTGATTAGATGTATTAGTATACTCAGTCTTCCGGGTAGAGTATATTTCAGAACAGAAAATTAATATGCCAAGTTAAGGGGATTGCATGAGAGTTATCAAGGGGCGTTAAACTACTTCATTGTTCTTGCGGGACTCGGCTGACCATTTTGGGGAGGTTTTTTCACCGGTAATAAATAATGAGGTTTAACGTCCCAAAACCATTATGTGATTATGAGAAACGCCGTAATGGAGGACTCCAGAAATTTTGACCACCCGGGGTATTAATCATGTACCTAAATCTAGGCACACGGGCCTCAAGCATTTTCGCCTCCATCGAGAATACGTCTGCTGTGGTCGGCTCTTTTTTTTTTTCATTCCATTGCCATGTAGCTATAGCTAAGGTGACGCTCAGGCTGTGCAGTGAGACAAGTACAATACCTAAAGAAAGCACTAAATGCAATACAATAAAAGACGTCTAATTTAGGCTATTATGGTTCACGAAGTTTAGCAGGCATGGGGGCGTTATAAGTCTAGAAATGTTGCATAATTTGGTGGGGACAACGCCGCCGCCAAGGTTGGTGCTGCGTTAAATTGATATTGACGCCTGTATATGACCCCGGCCACTTATTTTAACAGAACATACGCAACAAGCAACTAAAACGTGAGTCAACTCACCAGCCAGCAGTCCAAGCATAAACACAAAGGAGAAGTACTTCATTTTGGAAGTAACGGTCACCCTGGTACCTGCATATGGAGATGTTTTTTTTATAACTTGTGTTAAAGAAGCATGGCGCGCATGTTTGCCTTCTACGCTGTTTTCGAGTTGATAGATCTTTTAATTTTTTGATGTGGTTACGCAAATAAGGCACATCCTTTCAGTAGTCATGAAAGAACATCAATCACTCTCTATACAGGATGACTACAGCTCTTCCAACTAGCTGTCGAAATACTATTATAGTGCTGTCATACAAGCAATGCGATTGTGTTTTTCCTTGCTGCATAACACAAGAATACGATTATCTCTATAGAGCTTTTTAGTGACTGAGTAAAAGACGCACCTATTGCCAAAACAACAACAATGCCTAATTGTTCTTCCCTGGAAAACAACTAGCAATTCTATGCGTCTTAAGAAGACAATATACAAAGAATCAATTTCATGCAGTAGGGGCTGACAAAAACTGTGGCATTGGGTGCGATTCGAAAAAGAGAGGGACAGCCAAATATGCACTTACCAGCGGAGAACTGAAGCTCGTAGAAGCAGGTAGCAAGCCTCGGCAACCGTTTTCTTTTATACCGTCCCTTATCGTTCGGGGGTGGGAACGCGTCCACATGCGCACGTACCGAATAACAAGTAAGCAGAACGGAAGGTTACGCCGTCAATGATGACACGTGTGGTCGAAATTGCAACACAAGATATGCCACCTAAGGTCCTGTCCTATCGACGTGGATTGTCAGAGGACTGTTTGCAAGGAGGATTCAGGGCTGGAAGGTCATTGATTGCATGGGAGGCAAAGCACCTGCTGAACTATAGCGTTCTCGTTGCCCTGCTTGTCACACCTGATAGTGCTTTCGAGTTTTCCCGGACACTGAGACGATAATACTGTACGCTACAGGTGGGTGCACTCACTGCTTCAGACGCAATTTCACTGAGGCTACACAACAGAAGAGCCGCAGGAAAGCTGCCCGAAAAGGAGAAAGAATCTGTTGGGCTGGGAGGTTAGCCAGTTCTGAGATCGGTTGGCTACCATGTACTTGGCAAAGGGGTGAGCGGCGTATAAGTTGACCTGAAAAGAGAGGTTACACAGAAAGAAAAAAAAATCAATACGATAAGGTATACACTTCCTAAATTTTTTAGAATGTTCAAATGCGGTAGGCACTTGGCAGCACTGGTCACAGAAATAGCCATGTTTGTGCTGTCTTAGACGAAGTTACTGATACGAGTTCATTAGTCAATTACAAAATCAACTTACTGTCATATTCATGTTCGCGAAGTAGACGAAGCTGTTGAAAATAAGTTTTGCTTGATTAAATCTCTGCAGTAGCTATCTTTTGACCAAGATGCCCCGCCGCGGTAGTCTAGTGGGTAAGGTACTCGGCAGTGCTGACCCGCCGATCCCGGGATCGAATCCCGGCTGTGTCGGTTGCATTTTCAATGGAGGCAAAAATGCTGTAGGCCCACGTGCTCAGATTTGGGTGCACGTTGAAGAACATCTGGTGATCGAAATTTCCGGAGCCCTCCACTATGGCGTCTTTCATATACATATGGTCATTTCGGAACGTGAAACCTCGCATATAAATCAATTAACTTTGGGCCAATTCAACATGGGCAAACCTGTGAAATAATACGTGGCAAAAAAAAAGAAAGAGTGAGAGATTGTAATGGTATGAAATGTATTATTGGATGAAAATAACTGAGTTTGTTAAGCAATCAGAAAATCAACGTAGGGTCATATTTGTGTTGGCAAACTGCAAAAGTTTGGTGCAAATAGATGTTGCTTCTTTCAGTGTGCGCAATACGCAGTAGCTGCAGGAAGGAAAGAAGAAAGGGGGCAGTGAACGGAGTGAAGAGTATGTAGAGATGACACTTTACAAATGGCACAGGTGTTCACCTATAGGCCCGTAGTCTTCAAAAAGCGCGAAAGTGCTTTTATTGCCTTGCGAGCCGTCGAAAGACGACGACTGTGCTCCAGGAGCATCTGAAAATAGTAATGATTAAAATATAATTAAAATATGCGTGGAAAGAAAGTCAAGCAGATGAAACCACAAGTGCGCTGACAGGAACCGAACCTGCAATGTTGGGATGCTCCGTTGATTGAGCCGCGCCTGCAGTCGTCTTCTCGTAATAAGAATAAATAAGTATGTGTAGTTTTATGTCTTAGAACACTATTTGAATATGAGAGATGCAGTAATGAAGGGCTCCGGAAATTTCGACCGGTCTGGTAAGATCACACAATACACGGGCCTCTATACCATTTCACCTCCATCGAAAACTCGAGAGGAACGTCTATGAAGATGACCGACTAAAACACAGGAGGCTTAGTTACGGGCAAACGATACGTGAGCCAGCTATGGGTGACTAAAATTCCCTCTTTTGTTCTCGCTTACACCCAGGCGCCCAGTACGCCTGACAAGTTTGAGCTATCTCACTTAATACGACACAGACATCATCCTTCGCAACCACTTAATTGCCCTTTCGATATGGATCTCCAGAATTGCCACTCGTGAAACCTACTTTACTTATTAATTTTTATTCTTTCGTTATTGCAGCAGCTTCAATGGCATTCTTAATGGCATAAGCGCGGAACAAGTGCATGTGTAGCCCCATGCGGTTTCAAAAGTGACATCCACAGCATCTAAGTAACATTTTAATAGCAGTGTCGACGTTTATTTATTTGGGCTCAGGGCCCCTGGTGAGCCAGAGCACTGCGATAGGACAAGAAGGCAGCGGCAACAAAAACACTTTCATTCACTGGGAGCCGCACTGATGTGTCTATAGCGGCGCACCGAGCGGCAGTCGCAGGGGCGAGCGTACTCGGGTTGCTCATCGTTCTCTTTTTGCTCTTCCAGGCGAACGTCCCCATAATGTCAAACCACCAGTTAACATGCCGGCACTGTCAAATTTCATTATTGCACCCGTCCTGTAATGTTCCAGGAAGATTCCTGCGTGGGGCAATGAAGAATCCAGAAGAAATAAAAATGAGGAAATATATAACGAGCACTAGCAAGCAAAAGGAAGCCTTCAACAACGTATGCATTTGTTTGAGTGCGTATGGCTATAGTGCAGGTTGTTCTTATCTCTAACGTACCCAGCCGTATCGCAAGTTTTGGAAAGCGTTTCTTGCGAAATGTGACCGCCGCCACCGATTTGTCCGTGCAACATTCAGCATGGCGGTGGGAGCCAAAATGCCGAATAACAAAAATTAAAGGTGCTCCCTCCATACAGCTCCGACATCACGATTCGTGGACCTTACTGCCCGTCTAGTTGAGTCTTAAGACGGGGGGTCGCAAAAGCTCTATCACATGGAAGTGCGCAGTAAATGTTGAAGACTATGGTACATAGATGGAGGCTATTTGTTTACCACGCATGACACGCAGCGACAGAAAAAAAAACACATCGTTCGTCTAGACGTTTTTACTTTTAAAATACCAAACGATTTGTGATCTCAGATGGACGTTGTATGACTAGGCACATCAAAATAGACTTAAAGGTATGGCCTGCCGTCTTTGGACGGTCCATTAGACGTATTGCAGCACTGGCCACCGGGGATTGAGGGGAGAATAAGAATGGAGTGATGCCGCAGTGAGTCAAGACTTGCTAAGGGTTAAGACAGTTTGGGCGAAGCCTATGTTTTGCACTCGAATTACTTATCATACCTGCCTGGCTCTTTGAGTGAGAACGGGGTTTGCCAATGGCATCCCGTTTAACGGCAACCTATCCGTTTCGCAAGAGGGTTGTGAATAGAAGCTTCGGCCTCAGGTGATCGTCCAAAAGAAGTAAGCTAATAAAGGGACGACCAAGAGCGATCAAGTGCGAAGGTCAAAGACTTCCACTTCTGCAGTTCTTTCTTGCAAGACATGCGTCGGTCAGTTCGTTCGTGCTTCCGTCCATCCGTGCGGCCGTCCGGCCGCACGGATGGACAGATGGACGCTTCGTCCCACTCATCGTCACTTACTCGGCGGATATGGTGGGATTTTTTTTTTTTGTATTAGCTACAGAGGCCGCCAAAGTCAAAATGTCGCGTTTCGCCCCATATCTCATTTCACCTTACCCTACCGTAGTCGTAAAATGAAAAAAAAAAAACTAAAAGGCAACAAAAACAGCTCATCCGTGAAAATGAAGCAAATGCGACAAACATGTCGGGGCACGTCTAGATACTTAGGAAGACAAAAAGATAGACTAGTTTCCGTAAAGCATATGGGCGCCGTCTTCTTGCGCTGTCAAGACCATCGCAGTGAGGAAGAGGAAGACGACGAGTTCTTGCGGTTGCTGCTGTGCGCGAGATCTGCGTTCGTGTCGGACCGGTGATCTCTGACGACCAAGTCGTCCCTGCTTTCATAATAAATCATCATACGATATTCAGTGGAGGCGCTGGGATTTTTTTTTCGCATATTTCAACGTGAATAATAGTGCCTCGAAACATCGTATGTACCAACAAAGCAATTTTCAAGCGTATGCGCCTACCGTAAGGCAGTTCGTTCGGATGTTAAGCCCGCAAAACACAAAGGTTAACAACCCACAATGGTGGCACTCAGACATGCGTAAAACAGCCCATACCGCTCAGCAGATGCGAATAAAAGTTAGAGTTACCGACACCTGTAACAGCAGAGGTGCGTAGGTGCAGCTCCGTTTGTAATTCGTAAGATAATCATACACATTATTGCCTGAATGCCACTCCTCCATAAAGAAGGTGGTGTTTCAACTGGTCGTTGAACTAGGTTGCAACGGTTGAAAAATTTCAGTGATGACTTTCGGCGGATCTGCAAAAAGCCTTGTGCACGAGCCAGAACAAACTATTCCCGGTCTCAGCGCAACTACATCAATGCAGTGTGGGCATAAAGTAGGCACTCATGGGTGTTTCGAAAGTTCTCGAAGTCACGAACTAATTAGCGATTTGCCCCAGGCGAAAGCGAGATTAGCTGTGCCAGGCGTGAAGGAAGTATAGCAGCATTACGTGTAGTTGTTTTTTAGGGGCGAAGCTCCTTATGGCGGCACCCGTTCGTCCCGCGTATTCGTAGTAGTAGTCGTAGTGTGTAACCAGTCTTACAGTTTGACCTCCAA